CAGTGTGACAACTAGGGCTAACATCTGTCTGGCCCAAAAGCTGAAGATACTCAGCACGCTCTCCAGCACCAGCTCATCTGGGACGTCCCCAATCACGGCTGCCTCCCACCCCAGATCTCTTCCTCCCTCCCTAGAAGTCTACACCCCTCTCTTCACGGCCCCACCTTGGGCCTTCAAGTTCATGTCAGGAACCACAAAGGCTCATCTGTTGGGGACACTGGGGACACAGCAGTCTCCAGGGACTGGGTGCTGGGCTCAGGTGCATGGCACCGGCATAGTGTAGAACTTGGGAGTCAATGCTGGCGCCTGGCCACTCTGCCCATGCGAGCCATGCACCAGGCTCAATGTGAGGACCGAAGCACATGGGGCCCGCCTCAGGGAGGATGTGCCAGCTGAAGATAGGCTGTGCAAACACTGGCAGCTCGCTGGTCTGGAGTGACAGGTTCTGCAGCCAGACAGGGAGCACATGATGATAAAGCATGAATTTTATACAAAGAAAAGCACAGCATCGCCAGCAGCCCAGGACCCAGAACTGACTGACTCCATAAGGAGGCCTAACTGGGGAAAAGGGCACCGGCCACCGGCCTCTGACACTCTGTCGTCAGGCTCCAGCCTCCATCCCAGGCCCACAGGATGAGAATCTCTAGTGGACACATTTCTGGGGAACCTTGGTTTTCATCTTTGTCTTGTCCTTTTCACACATCTCAGACGAAAAGGCAGTTCAAACACTACCACCACCTAAAATAAACTGCAGCAGAGTGGAGGAAAGTCACCAAAACCAGCCTTCCCAGGGAGACCCAGTGGCCAAGGCTTTGGGCGGGCAGACTACCACATAGTATCATGTAGTGATCCCCCACAGGGACATCACCAGTCGGACTCCTCAAGCAGCGGACAGAGCTCTTGTGGGCATTCACACAGCACCAGAAGCATATACAGTACTGCGCTACTTTCTCCATAATTTTTTTCAGGAGGGACTGAAACAGGATCTCACTAGGTAGTCAGGAAGGCCTTGAACTTGAGGTGATCCTCCTGCCTCAGCCTCCCAAGTGCTGGGATTACAGGCATGTACCACCACGCCCAATTTCCTTAATATTTATTGAAATACAATTCACATATACTTTTAAAGTGTACCACTCAGGGGCTGGGGATATAGTTCAGTGGCACAACACCTGCCTGGCAAATACGAGGTCCTGAGTTTGAGTACTAGTACTAAAAAAAAGTGTATCACTCAGGGTTTTAGCATATTTGCTGTTTAAAATATTTCAAATTTTAAGATATTTCATCACCCCAAAATAAATTCCATGCCAGTTCATAATTCCTTCTCCTTCCCATATGTTCCCCCAAACAACTCATCTACTTCCTGCAAGTATACAGGCCTGCTGCAGGCATGGCACATACATGGAATTGTAATATACATGACCTTCTGTACCTGGCTTCTTTCCCGTAGCACAGTGTTTTCAAGGCCCAGTGAGCTGGCACACACTGGACTTCTCCTTTTCAAGAGCCTCTTGAAAGTGCATACTTTTTACCTCGTTCCATGCTAAGAATTTACACTGTGGAAATACTCAGAAATACACGATAGACCTCCGCACAATTATGCCTCACAACATTATATATGACAGAAGAAACAGAATGTTCAATAGTAAAGATAGATTATTCATTTTTACAGTGGCATACAATCCACCATTAATAAAATTAGAAAGTATTAAGTGAAAAGTTTTTTTTTTGTTTTTTATCAGTACCAGAGATCGAACTCATGACTGCCTGCTTGCAAGGGAGGCACTTATGTCACTGAGCTAAATCCCCAGCCCCGAAAAAAGTTTGAAAAACGTATGAAATGTATTTGGAAGTCAGGAAGGTGGTATACACCTGTAATCCCAGCACTCAGGAGGTTGCAGCAGGAGGACTGCTGCAAGTTCAAGACCAGCCTGGGCTACAAAGTGAACTCAAGGTCAGCCTGAACTGCATAGAAGACCCTGTCTCAAACAGACAAAAAATAAAATTAAAAAAAAAAAAAAAGAAATGTATTTTGTAGGAATGACATAAGCCAAAATATATTACTAAGTATCTTTGATAATAAGAATAGGGGTGGTTTTAGAGTCAAGCATAGTGGTGCATCCCATATATCCCAGCACTTCAGAGGCTGAAGCAGGAGGGTTCTGAGTTCAAGGCCAGCCTGGATTATATAATGAAACTCTATCTCAACAAACAAAACCAAAAAAAAAAAAAAAAAGATGAGTGGTTTTAAATTATTTAATTATATTCATGTACTTTTTTTTCCCCCTTTCTACCATAAAGAGAGCTGGTACCCAGGGCTTGTGCATGCTAGGCAACCACAAACCTACATCCCCAGCCCCTCCTTACTTCTCTTTTTAGGACAGGGTTCCCCTTAAACTTTCCAGGCTAGCCTTAAACTTCTAATCTCCTGCCCTATCCTCCTGAGTGGCTGGGGTTATAGGTGTATACACCCAACTGTAACATTTTTTTCTAACGAGAGAAAACTTCTAGAAAGTGAACAGAAACATAGGCAAATTAGGGATCCCTCACATTCTCATTTATATATGTATACATGTGGTTTAAAAATGAAAATAAGCCAGCCAATAAATTATAAGGAAAAATGAGCTATAAAGATCAGAAAAACAACAAACATATAAATCTGCCAAGGAAACAGAAAAGTAGAATTGATCGCTCATCTAAGAACTAGTTCTCAAGAAAACACATTTTAAGAAATGTGACCCAACTAAGATGACAATATGTAATCCATTAACTAGTGATTTCCTACTGTTGATTTTTTTTCTGCAAATCTGTATAACTTGTACCCTTTCTCTGCTTTTTTTTTCTTTTCTCCTTAAATAAAATTAAAAAAAAAAAAAAAAAGAAATGTGACCCAAAAAAGCACATTAAGCAAATAAATTTAGTAATGAAAGGGAGCTCTAACCAAAGACACAGATACTTGAGGTGCACAGTAGCATATGCCTTGTAGAATGAGTAAAAATATAAATTACAGAAATTAAGTAAAAATATTCAAGTTATCAAAAACCAAGAAATATACCATGGATCAGAGAAAGAGCTCAGTGGCACGGTGCCTGCCTGGCAAGCAGAAGGCCCTGAGTTCAACTCCTGATGACAAAACACAACACAACACAAGGACAAAGATATAAACCTTTAGGGAAAATGATCAGTCATGGCCTTGTGCCCCCTAGGAAGTCACGACAGGCAATTTGAAGTAAATTCTTTCATATATTCAAGAAATAACCAATCTCAAAACTATACAGAATGTCCTGGAACACATAAACTTACAGAAAATTACTAAACTTGTATGGAGCCAGTTGAACTCATAAAATACAAGCTATCCAAAAGAAACCATACTTGCCAATGAGAATATTCTAAACACAAAACCAGGGGATAAAATTTAATAGTACCATTTATTATTTGAAATATATAAATAACTAAAACCAAACTGGACATCTAAATTAATACTCTAAACAATCCAATGAAATTCAATACCTGCTCCTATTAAAAATCAATTAAGAATGATCCATTCACATGGTTTAAAATGCCACTTCCCCAACCAGCAAGTGAAAATTAATGCAGAAAAGTACAAACACTCCCAAGTAAAATGAGGAATGAAGACAGACCATCACCAAAGCAGGACTTACTAGACAAGCCTCAAAGTGAAACCAAAAGCAATTACATCAAGACAAAATAGGTAGACATTTTTTTGGGGGGTGGGGAGACCAGGAATCTAACTCAGGACCTTATGTTTGCCAGGTAAGAGCGGTGTCACTGAGTTAAATCTACAGCCCCAATAAGTAGAAATTTAAATGGAGACGGAAAATCTCATTCATACCAGCAACATCACCAATCAAGCCACAAATAGAATAAGACAAAGCGAAGCTTAAAAGTACCTGAAACTAACACTAACCCAAAACATCACAACCTAAACGTGAGAGAATGAGTTCTTAATTTTTAAATTAAGAAGCAAATGCTTCAGATCTAAATGAAATATAAATTAATAATAAAAGTATTTTAAAGATTCCAGTGTTGCAATTAGTCATTCCTTACATAGGTAGGTTCTAAAGTTAGCCTGTGACACCAAAAATGTAGCATGTAAGAAAATGTAACACAGCCTTTCTATAATGATGCAAGCTTAGATCTACAGGCATAGAAAGATGTCCACCAAAAATTGTTAGGGGAAAAACACATATGAAGAATCAGTGTAGAGGTGCTTGCAGGTAAAGACCAAGACAGACAGTTAGAATCCCTGAGGAGGGTGATCCAACGATTTTATACCCTTAGAATCTCTTGCACAAAGTACTATATAACTTTAGGGCTGGGGATGTAGCTCAGTAATAGAGCACTTGCCTATCACATGTGAGGTCCTAGGTTCAATCCCCAGACTGGGGGAAAAAAAAAAAAAAAAAAAAAAAAATATATATATATATATATATATATATATATATATATATATATATTAGAAATTTGGCAGTCAGGGATAAGCAGCTCAGAGGCATAAGCACCCGTCTGACAAGTACAAGGTCCTGATTCGATTCCTGGTACAAAAGAAAAAAATTCCCTTTTATAAATCTGGAGAAAAAGTTTAAATACAATAAACAAAACATTGTTCTGTTTTAAGATGCCTAAATTATGGTTGCTTTTCAACTTCTCTAATATACTCTTCTGCATTTTCCAAAGAAATTTACAAAATCACAAAATTTAAAAAAGGAAAAAAAAAAAAAAAACCAAGCATCAGTACCAAACTGTTAAGATGAAAATTACACCGTATTTAGACTCATTGAGCCTTTTACGTTTCTATGTGCCAAATTCTCAGTTTTCCTCTGACCACAGAATAATTCTCAGCTTTAGAGTCAAAATTTACCAGGAACCATTCCAATGAGAAAATAAAGTACAAAGAAACATGGAAAAGTGCACCTGCAAGCCCTCCTCCAATCACACGGGAGTGCCAAGCACGCTGAGGGCAGAACGTGGCACAGTCTTACCGTGAAGCTGTTGTTGACATTCTTGGTGCTCGACTCGGCCACACTGGCATCTGTCAGGTCCACCTCATCAAATATGATGGACTGAAGAGACAGAGAATCACAGGGCTCAGCACAAAGCAGGCACCCAGGGGCGGGCTGCGCCCACCTTCCCCACCCTGCTCCACTGAGGCTCCCGGACTGTGGCCATCAGGGCCTGCAGCTTACAGGGACCGTGTGGCTTTCTTTACACCAGAGTTCATGAGTGATGGCATTGGTGCACAGAAACTCAAAGACCAATTCTGACACTTATTTTGATTTTTTTATATCAGGTATTACTTTAAAACCGTATTTCACATAGGAATACAACCGTATCCTCAGTAGCCCACCTGAGAGCGAGCCTCAGGCAGACGGAGGAGCCTCTGTCATTCCTGTGGCTTCACAGTTACAATAAGTCATTCAGAAGTCAGAGGCAGGCTCTCCACAGCAGGGCAGAACACCCGGGAGCCCAGAACAAGGACACTCACCCCGAAGTGACAACCAGGCCCCATGCAAGGCTTGGGAACTGGCCATGGGAGCCTCCACTTTCCTCTTTCTCCCAAGTGACCACATCAAGCTCCCCCTCCTGTTTACCTTACCACCCGCTCTGTTCTAAGATCATTCTACCCAAAACTCCTGGAAGAAAAACTAGTAACTAAAAGAAGAGATTCAACCCTTTTCCCTGAGGGTTAACTTTTAAAGTAACTATGGCCAGACCCTTTTCTAAACAGGCAGCTTCATTCTCTCTTGATTTTACCCACTAACTCTCTAGGGATGCGTCTCGAAATGTAAATGATTCAGATTCCATGTATTTTCAATACCAAAATATCAGGACTGCCATGGGTACTGGTAAGAAACTACAGATGCCAGGAACCCCAGTCAGGTCCCCCCACAACACCTGGGGCCACACACATCCAGGCGGTGGCACCAAGGCCTCTGCTGAGGGCTGACCAAGAGCCCGAAAGCCTGGGGGCACTCGTTCACACACCAAGGTGCCCCGAATACTTCAAAAAAACACGCATAAGCCTGTAATAAAAGATCCGAAGATGCAGATCTCCACCTCTCTGAAAGGAAGTGTCCAACTGTGGTGACCTCTGTGACCCTTTCTGCTTTCCCTACTGATGACAAATGACAATAGAGAAAAATGAAAAAAAAATTGTTGTAAAAGTAAAACCTAACACGCTGGGTATTACAAAACTAGCTAGAAATAACAGTCTGTGAACCGCAGCACCCCACACACCTGCCTGCCCTTGAGGACTCAACCCTGCACTGTGGGCCTGGGGTGTCCCCTTGCTGGGCCTTACCTTTGCAGTTTTGGCATAATATAGTGTTCGTCCTCGAAGTTTAAAGTATCTCCTTTTCGATCGCTGGAATGAATTGTTCTGTTTGGTCAGCATCCCCTCTTTGATGATGGTCTGAAAGTACAGAAAGAGATACATGAACATGCGCTCTGAAGTGCTCTTTTGCCACTGGCTGAGTCACCCTGCTGGGGCTTGGCACACTTGTGTCTCCGAGGGGCCAAGAAGCCCACCAGAGTGACAGCTCTCACACTCACATGGCCCTTGACCCATGCACAGGCTGAGGCTGCTGCAGGACAGGGCAGGGAAGGGACACCAGCTCTACGGGATAACCACACACCTGCGCTGGGAAAGGTGGCAGAGCCCCTAGGTGAGCCCTGGCTATGCCAGCTGACTAGCAGAATGGAAACTGAGGCTCGCAGGCCTGCAGTAAATGGCAGCTAGGAAGACAAGGGGGATATGAGGCCAGCACATTGTCCAACTTTAGCATTCAGTATTTTTCAGCTATTCTTGGCCCTGTCTCTCTGTTCTCTGGCCTCCTGCCATTTCTCAGGGTCCTGTTGCCAAATCTTCTATGTCTACTGCTCCAGGACTCAGCATGGCTCCAGGCTTGCACTCTACTCCATCAACTCTGCAGTTCATAGGCCCACATGGACATGTGTGCCTGATGAGACAGAAGTGCCATGGTCCCACTGACACACATCCTCCTCCACTAGCACAGATAAGCCACATGGGGGAGGGGAGGGGCAGGGACCCCTCTATAGAGAACTCAGAACTCACCCTGGCTCAATTATAGCAAGAACAGAGGGGCACAACTTCCCTGGAGCTGTCCTTCCCTTCCTGTATCCTGTGACAGGACTCCTAGGGGACACTGACCCTGCACACCACTTTGAAGCCAAACACTCAAAGAACGATCCATCACCAAGCACCCTGAAGCCACTAACAAGTGGAACTACCAAAGAGGGGCAGGTTTGTGGTTGTAGTTCAGAGGACAGCACTCGCTTAGCAGGTGTGAGGCCCTAGGTCCCATCCCCAGCACCATGGCAGGAGAAATATAAAGTGATAAGTACATGGAGCATCAGAACCTGGCTCTCAGCACTTGGTACTTTCTTATGCGGCAAATAACAATAACACCCATGCTACAAGGAATCTCAGCACAGAAAAGAGAAGATTCTAAAACTCCTGTCTAGGGACCAGCACACTGGGTTCAGAGAAGTAGCTGCTTAAAACTACCTATTCCCACAACAGCTTGGGAGCCTAAGTCACTTTTAAAAACAACGTGTGTGTGAAGTACTTAAGTTTCAGGGTCCACTTAAAACTTCCTGAAATATCTGTGCGAACCAGACACAGAAACTCAGCTACCCTGAGGGGTCAGGATGCAAGTACGCACACTGACCTGTGCAGACCCCTCATCTGCTCATCACAGGAGCAGGCAGGCAAAGATGTGGGAGTGAGCCTGGCCGCACCCATCCAACGCACAGGACCCAGAGAACACACAGGGCCCGGGGGCCCTTCTCCTACACCAAAGGACATGCTCACTGCACAAGGGGGCCACCCATGCCAGCACCCACCGCCACCCCAAAACGCCCCTTACCCCATGCCCACCAAGACAAGGTATGGGCTCTGCACCTGCCAGCCACCATGCTACCACCCACCATCCTTTTTACAGCCCTCAAACCAGAATGACCTAGGGAAGAAGTGCCATGGCTTCCACCTTCCCCTGCACTCTGCAGAGATCCCCTGCCCTCTCCCCAAGGCAGCAAGAGTACCAGGAAGAAGAACACAGTGTAACAGCATTCAGGGAAGATACAGGCAGTCCAGCTGCAGCTGCTGGCAGGCAAGGCTCTGAAGCTGGAGCAAGATGCAGCCTGTACCAAGAGAAGAGCTAGGCTAAGGTCTGGCCTGAGCACCCATCTCCTCTCTGCAGCCACAGCAGGCCAGACTCCTGCTCCTATGCCCCGCCCTCTGCAGACCCCTGTGTGGACACCGACTCACCCCACTCACCTTCCTCACCTCTGCAGGGCAAGAAATCACTTCCATCTCTTTCCTACATGCAAATTTTTAAAAAGAAAAAAACCCACAAAGCCAACAAGCCAAACATAGAGAAGCTGGAAGTTATCTTTAACTGACAGACGCTAGAGTATTTTTTTCTTGCATCTCCTACCCATCTAAAATGTAAAAGAAAAAGCAAAATTAAAACACATTCCCCTCCAGTGTGCACACACATGCACAACACAACCTTTCAAAAAGCGGATGAGAGCTTGAGATCTCAGGCTGCCCAAAGAGACCTGCTGGTCTATTTATAGAACAAGCGTGCTCAGAAAAGACTCTGGTGGGTTTTAGCGGAAAAGGCTGGGGAAAAGATAAAGACCAGTATTTCTTTGATGCTTTCTCAGAAATTGCATTTTTTCTGATTTGTTGTTCCCAAATACTATAGATAGGCAGCAGAATATTTTTAAACACTCAGTCAAACACGATGAACTAAAAGTGGTCAAGAAACTCACACCCCGAAACCATCTGCCATGTCAATGGGCGGCCCTCGGGAGGCACCACAGGAAACACTGCTGGGCTGGCAACCTCACCCACTGCAGAGCGGGCACAGGCCAGGTCCAGAGCCCGCATGCTCACTGGGTTCTGCACACAAAGCGAAGGGTGACTCTGCTGCTCCAGCCACCAATGTACCCTTGCAATGATCAGAGACGAAGCCCCACACATACGGGCACCAAGAAGACACTCAGCCAGCACTCAATGAGCCCCTCAAGCGGGACAGCGTGGCTTTGCCCTCCTCCCACTAGAGGCAGGAAGGGAATCCGAGGTGGGACCTAAGGTGGGACCAAGGTGGAAGAGAGCCTGAGCCTAGGCTGGCCCTCAGACCACAGCTGCCAAACACTCAGAGCCCATTGCCAGGCACAGCACAGCACTTCTGAGCAAGGCATACATGGTTCATGCAGACTCTGTACCCTCAGACAGATCTGGAAATGGCTCCAAAAGACTTCAAATCAGTAGGCAAAGTCCTTGTCAAACACACATCTGCCAGGAGTCCCCTGAAAGGAGTGGGGATTCCATCACAGGGCGAGGGTTCCCCTCTCTTTCCTGCCTCCCTTCTTCAAACACAAGTAATACCTCAGACAGGAGCACAAACCAGAGGACAGACGGACACACACAGTGCCACTTCGGAACACAATGACACCTTCCCAGGGGAGGTCAAAAATACCAGGTCAGCAGACATGCGGTACCTGAACAGCGGGAACACAGGGGCTTCTCTAGGAGTAGACACAGAACCCAGCAGTGCAGGGTGGAAAGGAAGGAAGGCTCAGATCACTGCCAGCCATTACATAGGTCACAGGGGCTCCAGCATGGCACCCCACATGTCTACTTTAAAAAGACGAAGAGACAGGACAAAGATCCCATATGATTCCAATACACCCAGGACACCCAAGACCAGAGGACAGTCCGGGAGACCAGCATGGAGCAGGCACTCCTCATGGGCCTGAGGGGCAGGACGCTATCCAAAGGAGCTGCCTGTATGAGGTCCCTTATGGGGAAGAGAAGGAGACAGGTAAACCAGGACTGGCGACCCTGCTGGCCCTGGCTCAGGGGCAGAAGAAGAGAGAAGGAGAGGAAAAAAGGACAGTGACAAGAAAGTGGCACATGCCAGGAGAGGGTGCAAACTGAGCAGGTGGCTTCAGGGCTGCCAGACACAGCCGTGGGGGCCATCGGGCATCCACCCCAGCAGACCAAATGGTGGACAAAGGCTCAAGTCATGGAAATCACACAGAGCACAACCCAAAGCAAAGACAAGAGCAAAAATGCCAGGGTCTCTGACTTACATGTTTAACTTCTCACCAGCATGGACACACAGTGTACATGACTCAGGTTAATAGGAGTACTTCAGGCACATGTGCCCAGACTCAGGGTCTGCATGAGCCCTGACTGTTCCATACAGTGAATCACCAGAATTTGAGGGCCCAAAATAGCCAAGAAACTGCCTTGGCAGCCCAGAAGCCTGAAGCATGACAAGGTGCCATGCTGGATGAGCAGGGTCTAAAGGAAACAAACAGATCCTTCCTTTATATACCAGACGCACAAGTGAGTTCTGGGAGGACTCTGGATGTCATTCAAAAGGCAGCATTCTAAACTTTCAGCAGATTATAAGGAAGTATTTTTCCAGATAAGGTCTCCCTGTGTATTCAAGACTGGCCTTGAACTCACCATGTAGCCCAGGCTGGCCTCACACTCACAGCAATCCTCCTGCCTCAGCCTCCTTAATGCTGGGATGACAGGCGTGTGCCACCATGCCCAGCAGGAAGCATTTCTTTACAACTGAAATTGAGAAAAGGATATTAAATATGTTTAGAAAAAAATGCTAAGACTGGGTTCATTCAATAGGCGTATCCTTTACTTTTTGTATTGTAAATCTTTACTTTGGTGTAATCGTAGACAGCTATGCATCTCAGCAGCTTTTCCTGAGGAATGCAGGAAGCACCCTATGTGTTTACCCATTTGCTATGACAAAAGGTAAGGGATGTGCACATGTGCAGAACTGTCAAAATGGGATGGAGACTCATTTTCAGGCTGCAATTTGTTCTGCATAATTTACCAGACCCACACTACTCCAGGATTTATTTAAAAAAAAAAAAAAGTTTTGACTTTTCTGGTAGAAGTAGCCCAATCCAGTACAATGGCACATGAAAAAACAGATCTATAAGTTTTGGAGGAGGTGAATCATCAGATTACTCATGCATAGATGATGAGGATAATGTAAAATACATGCTATCATAACAGAAGAATGGTGTCAGTGGATGATAAAGATGATGACAATGAAGACAATGGTGATGATGACACTCACCTTGGCCATGTGAGCCAAATTTCATGTGACAGTGAACTCGAGCAAGAACCGGCTGGCAGAGACACAGGAAATGCAGACCTTCTTGATTTAGATGAAGAAAACAGCAATGCGAATACATATCTGACTAGCAGAAATGTTACGAAATGACAACGCAACCAAATGGACTGATCCAATGTTAGAACTAGGTCCAAAACTATAGTGAAGGTCTTGGCAGGGGTGAAAGGTATTGGACAGAATGCCAGCACTGCCACTCAGTGTTGGAAATGGT